AGTTTACTTTTAGCTGAATAGTATCCTGGAATTAGGTTTGGGAAGTCCGGGGGTGGGGGGTGGGAGGTAGGGTTTTTACATTGTGATGTATTTGTGATGTGTTCCTTTTTATGATGAAAATAATAAAAAAACAAAATTTAAAAATAGAAACTCCTCTTTAAGAGTTGGGCTGTTGTCATGCAAACATATGAGAAGTTAATGTTGTTGATACATGGATACAACTAAATTTAGCCAAATTAAACTAAGTTGAATTAAACTAAACTAAACTAAACTAAACTAAACTAAATTCCTATATGGCATATGTTCATATTTGGACTAGTGGTAATTTCTAAATCCATGGTTAATCTACTTGAAGGTGTTACATGACAGAATTGTAATTCAATAATAAATTCATTGACTTTCGACAAGATAATTCAGGTTAGAGGGAAATGATATTTTGATGTATCACTGATAGATTTCTTTTAGTTTATCATCCATAATGATCCACCACATGTTGATATGTGTATTTTTCTTTCCAAACGTACGATTGGCACTTATGGAAATTGTCTCTGAAGTGTGTAAAAGCATACTTTAGAATCATATCATTCCTTTAAAATTGGAGCTAGGCCAACTGTATGCTTTGGATATGGAATTTTCATTAAATTAAACCAGATGTATTGGAAACAGAAAAAGAAATATTTGCAAATTGTTGGTTTCTTGTTTGAAACAATATGACCTAATACTCATAAGAGACTCAAACGGGACAAAACATTGGAACTATTACATAATTTCCAGTTTTATTCAGCTTTATATTAATGCAAATACAGAAATATCATTTGAGCAGACTGATGGTCTTTTAAATGGAATTGATCTTCCTAAAAATTTCTCATGAACATTTAAACCGTTAGCATGACCCTTCACATTACAAAATTTATTTGATATTACTGGAATATAATCTATCAAAAAATTGCATGGTAGTATATAGTTAGATCATTAGTTTTGTTATGGTCTTTATTTTGTCTGGATGCTTTAGTAGCCTCTTAAATTTACTAGATTTACACATATTTTAAGATTTTCATAGAAGCAAAACTAAAATACATCTCTTTCACACAAACACCCATACACACACACTGGATTACATAAAAGAAATTTTGACCAGGGGATCGTATATTACAATACCAAGTTCTTGAGTTTTAAAAAATGTGAAATATGCCAATTATAATGTAAAAAAATGGGTTAACCTTTTTCTTATGTTGCCATTGTGCAATCACATGGAAAGTACATTAATTCATAGACTTTGGTCACACCCACTGCTAGTTCTCTTTACTGAAACATTGTTTATAATTCAGGGGTAGTCAACCTTGGCTCTTTTATGACTCGTGGACTTCAACTCCCAGAATTCCTGAGCCAGCTAAGCTGGCTCAGGAATTCTGGGAATTGAAGTCCACGAGTCATAAAAGAGCCAAGGTTGACTAACCCTGGTTTATATGGTAGACCAGGTTCTGAGAAAGAAGTTAAAGTTTAAAGATACATATGTGCTATTAAATTATATCTATTAGGGAAGCTTTGGGTTCATTGTGCCTGGATTGTAATAAGAAAAGGTGACTTTGTTTTCCTGGAATGATGTTGTTCAGACTTTAAGCTTGGCTTAACAATTTTTTTGCACTGACTTTATACTGGTAGAAAGAAAGTAGGGAACACTACATTAATTTCTTTGTAATTATTTTTCTATCTACAGTATATTAGCATATATTTAGTTTATTAAATATTGAATCGTTTTGAATTTAAATTCTGCATTGTTCTTTTTTCTTACGGATGTTTTTTTTTTTAAAAAAAGATCACTGAAATGTGTGATATTAAGAAAATATCAGGCGATAAGAGAAGTATCCCACCATCCCTGCTGGACTTCTCCTACAAAGTGGCATTTGGAACCAAGCCCAGCAGAGTCTTCCAGATAAAATACTTCTTTTACAGATCTGCCCCCCCCCATGAATGCGTGTAATCCATTTACATCCACTTGCCTAGTAATCCAAATTAGAGGCCATTCACCTCTCTAGTCCTCAGGATAAATGATCTGCTCTCCGAACAAGCGCTTTCTTCTCCACTTCTGCATTTCTTCCCTCGGCTTTCGCAGCTCTGCTGTTTTGAGAAAGGGAGAGAAACTCTCCTGCGCTTCCACCAGGCCAGGGTCTGTTTTCTATGCTTCAGTTCTGTGATTCTCGGAGTCCTAATGGACAATCACTTGGATATGAGCCAGCAGTGTGCTGCAGCTGCCAAAAAAGCCAACACAATGTTAGGCTGCATTAACAGAGGGATAGAATCCAGATCACGTGAAGTATTAATACCACTTTACAATGCCTTGGTAAGGCCACACTTGGAATACTGCATCCAGTTTTCGTCACCGTGATGTAAAAAAGATGTTGAGACTCTAGAAAGAGTACAGAGAAGAGCAACAAAGATGATTAGGGCACTGGAGGCTAAAACATATAAGGAACGGTTGCTGAAATTGGATATGTCTAGTTTAATGAAGAAAAGGACGAGGGGGGACATGATAGCAGTGTTCCAATATCTCAGGGGCTGCCACAAAGAAGAAGGAGTCAAGCTATTCTCCAAAGCACCTTAAGGCAGGACGAGAAGCAACGGATGGAAACTAATCAAGGAGAGAAGCAACCTAGAACTAAGGAGAAACTTCCTGACGGTTAGATCAATTAATCAGTGGAACAACCTGCCTCCAGAAGCGGTGAATGCTCCAACACTGGAAGTTTTTAAGAAGAGACTGGACAGCCATTTGTCCGAAATGGTATAGGGTTTCCTGCCTGAGCAGGGGGTTGGACTAGATGACCTCCAAGGTCCCTTCCAACTTTTTATTATTATTATTATTATTATTATTATTACTACTACTACTATTATTATTATTATTATTATTATTATTATTATTATTACTTCTGCATTTCTTCCCTCGGCTTTCGCGGCTCTGCTCTTTTGAGACAGGGAGAGAAACTCTCCTGCGCTTCCTCCAGGCCAGGGTCTGTTTTCTACGCTTCAGTTCTGTGATCTTTCTTTCTAAGGTGAAGAAACCCAATTCTTTTAAACTTGCTAAAAGAAAGCATTGAACCCTCTGATCATTTTGGTGGACATTTTGTCTATTTGACCCTGTTTCCCCCCCCCTCTGGTTTCGGTTGTTGTTGTTTTTTCCACCTTCGTTTCCGCGGGAGGCAGATTCAGTTTGTTGGGACCGATTCGAGAGGGAGGGGGAGAGAGGGTGGGAGAGAGGGAGAAAGAAGGAGAGAGAGAAAGAAGGGGAGGAAGAGAGAGGGAGGGAGACATACAGAGGGAGGGGGAGAGAGGGGGGGAGAGAGGGAGAAAGAAGGAGAGAGAGAAAGAAGGG